ATATGCTTTCACGTTTCAAGTGGCGTTGAATCTATCTTAAAGGAGCAAACAGTTCGCAGTAGTGAGTTATACAGGCCAAATTTAACTTTTTAACTGTACGGTTTACATCATCTGCTATTGATAGATGCACATGCGGCAGCACGATCTTGTATTTCCTTAGCTGCGACGTCCGTATCAATAGATACCTTCAATATATGGCATTTATAATCGATAGCGTTAATTATAATTAGCGTTTAGTATTCAGTGTTTCAAGTCAGTAGCTCATTTCATCTGATTCGACAGATCATTTACTGTGTTGTTAGTTGCTTATGGTTTAACCTCGTGGGTTGCCATCATGCCGTTATGTAGTCATGATTTAACTGCTGTAGTTGCTTCTGGTGCTTCTGCTTCTCGTGGTTTCAGATTTCAGACTGAACTTTGAGGTTCTTTAGCTTGTGCTCCAGAGTTCAAGAGAGGGAACTTCACTTCCAAGACAAATTTTTTCACTGCAAATCGTCACTAGACGTTACAGTAGTCAGCGTTGCTCTCTCCGTGTCCATAACTGGCTGCAGCCATCTTCAGCCGATTAGCGAGGCAACGTTAACTTATTCAGCAGACCTTCTTATGCCTTTTGACGCAGTTCTGAAAGAAGGATTATAAAAAATCATAGCATATCCGTGTGAAAAAATGGATCCGTATCAGTTAGAAGGCACATGAAAAATTGTCTCAGCAAATTTTGACGGTAAAATTAAAAATTGACATTGAGCCTGCTAATATTTGACCATTTATATCGTCCTCGCGTTCAAATGGCACTTGTCATAACTATAATGTGTCCTGGAACAACGAATGACTTCTAAGGCGATATTTAACTGCGTACTGTCCCGCACCCTTTCTTCTACTTATTTAAGAGGCCATAGCGCACACCATGGCTGCATGGTCTGAACACCTTCACTGGCAGAAACATCTCGCGTCATTCTGTCACATACAGCTACATCGCGCTCATCACCAAAGATGTTTCAGGAACTGTTACTCTCTATGTACTACCGCATATGCCAAATACGAATGACCTCTTAAAAGTCAGTTTTCTTGGCTTATTGTACCACTTTTGGTTCGAGTTTTCTAGCCACCATAGAGACTTGGCCTCCTTAAATGGCCACTGAGGCAAGTAGGAACAAGGTGCGGAGCAGCGCAGTCAAATTTGGATCTGAAAATTTTACTCGTTATTTCGCATACTCCCGCATATGAACAAACTGTGATGTTTAATACATCCGGAAGATATATCCTTGTCTGCATACTGACTTCGTTCAACATCCGATCATTTCAAATACATCAAGTATCGACTTTTCAGCTTTTATCTAATCTGAGATTTCAAGAATTCTTCTTCAGGGTGCAGTGTTAAATTTGTCCATTTCCGTCATCGTCATTAAACAGAGAATGGCATTTCTTATATAGCTGCTGTGTCGTTTTTTGCTGCTAGACCATATGACAGGCAGTGAAACGGCAGGGTTAGTACCAGAAGGCTGCCATATGCTAAGTTATGCAACATCATGACGTTTTCATGTGCATATGGGAATGCTTCAAGTCTTAATGTATGGTAGTCAAAGGCGCAGTTATTTACTAGTCTGGTTTGCATTTTACAAGTGAAGGATTCACAAGCAATCGTGGCGTAAATTTTCCGTTACCAGTTGCTAGCTCCCATCGTCGAGGAATTCGTCAAAATGTGATTTTGTCCAACCAGTGACTGTAATGTCACTTAGTAAGACATTCGTATAACTGCTATTGTTTAATCCTTATCATCGTGCTCAGATCACGTGATTACGTGATGAATGATTATTGTCCCTGAGGAATTAGTAAGTTTCCTCGAATGACATCGGTCATTGTGGCTGGTGAACATTCGATATACAAGGTTCGAGAAACGTGTCCATACAAACCAGTGATATGCCAAAAACTTGCCACTCTTCGAAGCTTTTTATTACCGAATAAGATGTTTATATCTCCTACTGTGGTTCCACAACCATAAACCTTTCTCCCGTTTTTCGGCAGTTCTTCTTTTTTTTGTGGTCTCTCCATTTTTGGACATCCTTAAATGTTCCAGGTTAATTTATGACAGGACATCAAATTTGGGTATCAAATGTGTTTTTCGGAATATACAAATATCTCACGTACGCGGCAACGAATTGCGAAATGTTCATCGTGTCGGTCAAAATTTCCAGACCCTGTGACACACTTTGAGGATTTACTCTTTTTTCTTATTTACGCTAATAAAGACTATTGATTGGTTTAAACCCCTTATTTTTAACATGTGAAGGCTCTCGACCAATTCCTCCGACCTCAGAAAATTCCTTTTCATAGCGCACGAAATTTGTATCACCACAGTCGATGCAGATCTTTTATCGAATTCGGCATGATAAAGGTTAAAAAATCCCATTTAGTAACTTATTAAAAAGTACTATTATATGGCAGTAATTCCTAGATTCTAGCAGTTATCAGTTTTCGAAATATCCTGCCTCTTTCAGCATTGAGTTTTAGACTCATTGTCCTCAGAAATTCCTGTGATAATATGAAAAAAGGAAATAATGTGTTTAATTCTCACAATTTTCCGTCTTTAATAATCTCTTTCGCAACTTTCCTCATGGATACGCCATAAGTACAGCCACAATATTTGCGTCCTTTATCTTCTCCGCCGAATCGAAGCAAGCTTAGTGTCTTAGGTGCTTCATACGGTAGATGTTTTTCTACTTTTTAACGAAGAAGAAGCCACTATGTTTAATGTAAACCCGCAATAACAGAGTAAAACTTTAAATTATTAGGCTGGGGCAGCTCTAGCCAATTAGGCGTTTTATTCTTCATCTTTTAATTCTACAGTAGGTCATAGGTCCTGTAAATAGAAAATGCTATGATATTCCCTACGTACGATATTTTCCGGGCTTATGACTCTTGTGGTCTGTATCCCAATCCCTATTCTCAAATGATCACGCGATAATACAATACATTCTTTGAGGAATTAATCTTTCATTTGATGTAGAAATTTCTCGAATGATAGCCCTCAATGTGGCGTGGTCAGGATCAAGGTTGCCAAGTTCGTGAAATGTGTTTCTTTAAAGCAACAATGTGCTGGAAATGATACTCTCAATTCGAAGTCAGTCAGCAATTTTCTATCCATTAATAGCGCCCCAATATTGTCTTCTCTCGTTCCAATCGGTTCAGTGTTTTCAGATACTATTGTCTTGTTTGTATTCCCGTGCATTTTTTCTGTACAATGAAATGTTCCGGGTGTATTATTTATATCTGAAGCTATGTTCAAATCAGATTGAACTCTTCGATCCCGAATTTTCCGTCACTATTCCGAACTTACAAATTTCTCACGAACTGCGACACCTTCATCATAGCAGTTTCATGATCCACTTACTGCATCCGTGACTACACTGGAAAAGGAATGGTACCAATTCGTGTTACAGCCTTATTTTTAACATGCAACGAGTCTCGACCAATGTACTCTGAAGACGGACCGAGTTTGGTCCG